AGAAAAGTTTGCCCGTTTTTTCCCCATCTCATCCCCATTATCTTTATTCACCAATAACTCATTAACAGCAGCCCTATTTTCATCTAAAACACACACACACACACACACACACACACACACACACAGCCTATTGCTTTCATAACGATTGAAAAGTAGGATTCATTTACTTGCTCTCAATTAAGCCATGGTTCTGAGAAATTGTTTTGACTGCTACCCTTGGATTGAAGAGTGATATTGAAATACAACCATTTTCAATACTGTGAATAATCCTTCAGAATTGTTAAGTAGAATGACAGGGTGGCAAAAGATATCAAATGTGGAGTCAAAGGTTTTTCTGGCCTATAAGACACAGAGAGTGAATGTATCGAGGGGATCCTATAGAAGAAGAAATATTACAAAAGGACCAGATGATTTCTTTATGGCATACCCATTATTATTTCCCACAAGTTTAAAATTAAAAACTGACTTATACAGACTGAACAAGTTATACTTAAGAATACATACATACAGGGCTGGAGAGATGGCTCAGCGGTTAAGAGCACTGACTGTTCTTCCAGAGGTTCTGAGTTCAATTCCCAGCAACCACATGGTGGCTCACAACCATCTGTAATGAGATCTGGCACCCTCTGGTCTGCAGGCATACCTGGAGGCAGACTTTCTATACATAACAAATAAATAAAATCTTTTAAAAAAAGAATACATACATACATACATACATACATGAATGCAGTAACAATTAAAACATGGGTCATGAATTTGAAGGAGAGCAAAAAAGGAGTATATGCAGGGTTTTGAAGGGATGGAAAAGAAAGGAGAAAGGTTTTAATTTTAGCATAATCTGAAAAAAAGCCCAATAATTTATAGCTAAATGTCTTGACATACAACTGTCAAGTGTGATTTCAACACTTGAGAGACAGAAGCAGAAGAATCAGAAATTTGTTCAAGGCCAGGCTATATAATGAAACCTCCATCCCAACCAATCGCATGTCTAAATGGGATTTCTAAGTAGAGCACTTGCCTATTCAATGAAAAGCCCCAGATGAAAAATAAAGAAAGCCAGCTAATTTGGAGGACCCCCTCCCAACTATCATAATGTCTCATATCTGACTTTAAACTGAAATCATATGGAAAATAGGATAAATTCACCAGGATGTTCCTGTTGCCAAAAAGCTGTTCTTTTTTTAGCATTAATTTCTGTGTGAAGATTGCTGCCTTCAGTTAACAGATTTCACAGACCTTTAGTCATTTTCATGTAAAGTGAACTTATCCAGAGACATTTACTGTTAGTCTTTGAGCCACAGCTTTAAACAAAAAGTTGGATCCACGGGGTCACCTTTTAACCCTATAACCTAAAGCACACATTGTAAGTATTAGAATGCATTGTGAAGAGTGTTCCAAAGTTGATCTGATAGTAGAATACTATAGACATTTCCTATATTGTACAGAATGAACTTTGTAACCTCAGAAGTTTCTTAGCATTTTCCAGTTCATCATGTCTGTTAGAATCTAGTAGAAATTGCTTTCGTAAAAGATTTGAAAGTAAACCCCATAGTTTCAGTGAGAGTTACAGTATTGTTGTTGCTAATATTTTTCTTTATATCATCATTGAAATTTAACAAGAGTCTTGGCATTAAAATTATAGATTTCATTTTAATATTTAAATAATTTTGTGATGTCTTTTCACTTAAAATATCACTTGACGTAAGTCACATATACATAGCACCGAAAAGACTCTATAGGGACCTATTGACTTACTAGTTTATTTGATGCTGTCTTTGGGGAAGACTGAAACAATACAGTAAAAATCGCTAGGAATCACAAGTGTCATAGAATTTTACTAGCTCTATAGCTCTTGCTCTCAAGCTACAAATCTTTGAAGACTATATTGGGTCCTAGATAATATAAAATGTGGATTTGTGTTGAATGAACTGGCTTACTGTGTGAAATGTCTCTGACTTTGACATGAGATCTTTCTCTATAAAAAAAAAAAATAAGACCTGAGGTGCTGCACTAAATTTTCATGTATCTGGATCTTATAAGAGGTCAGTTCACAAAAAACTCTTGAAATCTCTGTCTTATTTGGTGTCAAAAGAGCTAGACATTAGTACGAGACATAAATCCTCCGAATCTCCGATGTTCTCTGCAACCAAATAGAACAAATGCCTATGAGCAAATACCCTCGAGTCACCAGACTTTTATTTTCTGTTGAACTCCTTAAACTTTTACAAAAATGGAAAAAGAGCAATGGAAAAGTAAATGAGGGAAGTAGGCTTGGTTTTGGATTAAGCCAAATTCAGCTTAGCTTCCCCACTTTATACTTCCTCAATATGAGAAATTAAAAGTTTAAAATCAATATTATAGTAGTTGTGGTCAATTTTATTGAGCTTACCATATCCATTCAACCCCAGCATAGAACCTACTCCCTTGACATCTCATGTGCTCCCTCCAGGAGGAAACAGATGTGTTGCTCTAGGGCGGAAGCAAGAAATAGGAAGGCAGTGCCATAAATTAGGCAATCAAGAATATATTTTTGAATATATTTGATTAAAATACATTTTAATGATCAATATGTGTTTATTGATCATTAGCTATGGGTCAGGTGTGATAGTGAATGTCTCACATCCATGATCTGGTTTTATATTTATATCAGTCCCAGGAGTTAGGTGTTTTCACTAGCGCCCACTGAAAGATTATGCCTCAGAAGTCCTAACCTACTTCATAAACAGGGAAATGGACTAATACATTATTCTTCAAATTATCAAGTGCAAGGCAAAATTAAAAGCTCTTATGATTAACAGTCATTAATCAGAACGTCCTAATCTCTGAGAATTTCTTTTAATCAGTATTTTACCCATCCTGTAGTATGTTACTCAAATGGTGGAGATGCGTTTAAAATCAAATTCTTTTAAATAATATTGCTCCAATCAGCATTAGAACTTTTCAGTTGTGGCATTATTCTTGGCTATCATCTGTCAAGAATTTAATCACATGACAATATAATGAACTTACCCCCACTAATAAGTTAATTTATTCAATATTCACTATGTATTACTGTGGTGCTAGGTAAAAAGGGATACAATTTTGGGGTGCAGAGTTTCCTTCAGAAGAACTTAACAAGTTTATGAGGAAAATCCTGTTTTAATTCACTTACAATAAAAATAATTACCACAAACATCTTTTTCTTAATCTCTGCAGCCACCCTGTGTAGTATTATCACTTATTATACACTTTATGAGACTAGGGATAAAAGAGATTATATGGTTAGCCAATCAGCTCTAGCTACTAAAGGAAACCAAAGATTTGCCTTCTCAATGTATTGTGCTTTTTCTTGTACAAGCATTCTGTTTTCTCTGGAACTTGATCTGATCAGAATGATAATGCAGAAGGAAATGCTAAGAAAGTTTTGAAATTGTTAAATCACTTTGGAGTGATTGAGATCCACACCACTGTGTCTACTTTGTTTGTTATTTTTAGTTCTAGTTATGATACATAATTAATGGGATGTAGCTAGGATATAAGTGAACAGTTGACTTAAGAAAAAAAGCAAGTTTGATCATTTCATGTACTTACATGTTGTAAACGAAGAATATTTGATAAGTCCCAAAGGCCATTTAATGGAGGTGTTCCTAGTGGAGTCTAGTTGCTAGGGAAAAAATATTACCTTTGATGTGGTCTGCAAACATTAACCTAAGGATATTTAATAGAAACAATAATGCAAAGCATTTTGCTCATCATTCATATTACTGAGATCTGACTGACATTCACCTATCTTCCAAGCTCGTCATTGATGTTTTGTAACATTGTCTTAAGAATTGTACAGTTGTGGGTCATAGAAAATTAGAGATTAAAAAAATGAACCATGTTAGACCAGCCTGATTCCCCTTTAAATAGGAAGTAGTGGATAAAAGGCTTGGAAGAAATATGTTCACAAAGCTTTTCTTTCTGTATTTCATGACATTTTCATTGAAACACTTGAAATTCTGCATGCTGCTGCCAGAGTGAGAACTTAACTGTACTCGCCTCTTTAGGTGTGTCTAAGCTCGGTTTCTGGGCCACTAGCTTGAATGCAGCACAATATAGAATTGTCAATTTACTTAAAATATTAAGGATTTCTGTGATCTTTTCTGTAAGTTTTACAAATGATAGCATCCCTTCTTAGTGTCAAAGATTTTGACACAGCTCTAAGACTTAGCGAGTGGAAAGCACCTTTTGGCATCCTGTGTGGTGCAGCAATGAATAGTTAAGTATCCATGCCTCTGAGAGCATTTGAACGTGATGAGAGAAATGCCAGCAAACCTAGCCTAGAGGCCCCCATTATTCTAGCAAGCAAACAACTCCCCACAATGTCCATATCTTTCTTTTTTTTTTCATTTGCCATGAGCTTACAGTTTTGTTATTAGAGACCTTTGTGTTATCACTGGAGATGACTAACACCAGAAGTATCTAATGCTTGTATCTGCATCAATTCAGCAAGCCTCATAACAAAATAATAGAGAAGGTCTTAAGGGATAATTCAAAAATTCAAAGCTAACCTTTTTCAAAGAAAAGTAGGTCCAGCTACAGAAACATCTAAAAAAAAAAAACAACTTCTATATTTTTTGTTTGAGATGAAGTCTTACTATGAAGTTGGTGGTAACAAACTTCTGTACTTACATGAAAGTACAGTATAAATATTGCCTTAGCCTCTTGAGTAGCTAGGCCTATCAGCACAAATCACTCCATCTAGGTAGTTCTGTCATTTAATAGAAGAAGTATAAAACAAAAGTGGGAGGATTCTTAACCAATGACAGTCACCATCTTATATTTTAATTTTGAACTTGTTAACAAATCTGCAAAAATTACAGAAGGCAACTGTCTTGAAGGATTTATCTTTTTACACCAAGACTCTGTTAAGACCTACAAGATTTCCCCCCCCCCCCACTAGTAGCTTCTATAATAAAGTCTGGGGATGATCCCAGTCCTTAATGGAGTCTGGACTTGGCTTTCTTTTTCTTCTTTAGGATTGAACCAGCTGCCCTTTGACCCTGCCAACAACAACGAACCCCTGCAGTTTGCTAGTGCCAGTGGCCCTCTGGTTGCAAGTGGCCTCATTGAGAATGGAGGGGATTCAAGCAAGAAAAGAAAGAGAACAAATGCTCCTTCAGGTAAGCTAGGTGAAAATGCACTGTCTTAAATCAGTGCTATCCAGGCAATTTTTCCCCATAACCTGCTAGGTTGTGGGCACTGCGCCAGGCAGTGTAGGGATTGCAGAAGCAAGTCAGAGGTCCATGCCTTTTCATCTGATAGTGGGGCCACATATATGAATAGCTAGTATTATCATCAGTGCTGCAGTTGAATGTGTTCAAGGGAGACAAGCTGAAAAAAGGGATATTTTGATTTACCTTTAGAGATTATGGAGCGCTTCATACCGCATGTGACATTTTTAGCAGATCCTCGAAGAATAGGTAGATTTGAAGCAGGAAGAATAAGTAAAGAGTTTTGGTTTTTATAGAAAAGAAATTATGTGAGTAACTATTTCACTACACACTTGTCTTTTTATGAACATGGAACACTTTATCTCTAAATCAGGTAATTGCATACATTTCCATCTCTCCAACTCCCAGTATTTCTGCAATGTATATCATGTCCACACGAATACTGTTATTTTAAGACAGTATTTCACTATGTAGCCCGAGCTGGCCTCAACATTATCTGTCATTGTGACTGAGTTGTATGATCAGAGGTTTCACCACCATAGCAGGCCCCACATGTGTTTTATACCCTTAGAATTAATTAGAATACCCGAGAAACAGATTCTCCATACTCCTCTAAAACAGCACAATGGGTTGTTAGCATTCCCTGAAATCCTTTCCTCATTCCTCCTGTCTCGTCAGCATATTCTCATCTTAAATCTCTCCAAACTCAATGAGAAAACAGCAAAACCAAATATTAACTGATCATTTGATATTCAGGTTTCATCATTTATGTCAGACATCAACTTGAGATATTGGGGTGGGCTTGCCTAATAGACATGTTCATAGGTTTGTTTTTTTTACTATTACTTTTATTTGCATCTTCCAAAACCAAGTATGTTTATGAACACAGTATCATTTTCTGTCTTTTAGATCATAGTATATATTTGGAAAATGAAAGTACAGTATAAATATTGCCTTATGGAATCCTTAATATAAGACAGAGTTCTTTTTTGTAGAGTTTGGAAAGGTAAGGCGGATAGCCCAGGAGCTGTCTTGAGTTCTAACTCTGGAGATCTCTCTCTCTCTCTCTCTCTCTCTCTTTCTCTCTTTCTCTCTCTCTGTGTGTATTTGTCTTTCTCCTTCATTCTTTCTCTCAGCTTAGAGTGAGTTCCTTAGCTTCTCTGAGGTTCCCTTTTCTTCATGTGAAGCAGAAATGATGCTAAAGCTCTCTACAAGGGATTGTTAGGCAAAGTAGTTGAAATGATATAGGTGGTAGTTAACATCATAGCTGCATACAATGACCACTTAATGAATTCTTTTCTTATTACATATGAGCATCATTGTTTTTTTTTTGAGCCTCATTGTTTTAAGCATCAATATATTTCACTTTTTTTTTCAACAGGAAATTGAAATTTATTTAATATACACAAGTCACATCTGACACTGAAAAAATGAAAATGCTATTTACATAAAACAACAAGGTTATCTATTGTTGACACAAATTTGCCTCATCGTGTACGTGTGCTTGTGAATGTATTTGCCTTTTGAAACCACATTTGACATAGTTCATCTTGGATCAGTTAGGGACGTCATTGGTTATTTACTACACTTTAATAATTCTATTATAATTTTCAGAATTTACCAGGGAAGATTATACAACTTTACCTGTATACTAACTTGCCCTGGATTGTGTTGGTTTTCTAGTTATCACAGCTACATTTTATACAAGGCCTGTTCCCTTTCTGCAGTCTGCTGTCACTTAGTCTTCTCAGTGTTCTTTTTTAAAAAAATTATTTTACATACCAACCACAATTGCCCCTCTTTTCTCTCCTCCCATTTCCTCCCCCACCTCCCCTACATGTTGTTTAGCAATTCTTTTCCTTTTTCCAATTAGTTAATAAACTTTGAAACTATCAAACAAAAACAATCCTTAAAAAAACCTATCCAGCTTTCCAAGTGCGTTTCTAATGTATGTATGTTAAATAAGGGCAGAACTGACTGTCAGTAGAACCTGCCATGGAGAGTGTTCTCATGATTTATAACATCAACTTTAAACGTTGCTTTTGGCTGCAGGCTTTTTCATCACTTGTTTGTTTTTGCACTATAATCATAAGTGATGGACTAGTTTCAGGCAGTACCTTTCTAACTGTGGCTAACTCAAGGGGGTGGGTAAAAGGGATATGTATTAATTTGAATTGAGAACCAGCTTTAAAGAATTGACATTTCATTTCTAATGAGCTTATTCAATGCGAGCCAAGTTAACTGTTGCAGATAAAGGATTTTAACAGTAGATTACACTAATCTATAATTAGCAGAATCAATTTGCATTCAAATAATGAATATTCTGAAGTTCCTTAAAAACAGTGTATTCTTTAAAATAGGTGGAATAAGCTCCTAGAAGGCTAAATTAACTTTCTTGAAATCCTGTTCACACTATTTGTTTAGTGAGCCCTTTCTTTGTTAAGTAGCACAAAGGTAACACCAACCTGGGTAAATGACCACAAATTCCAAATTGGTGTAGTCTAAATTAACGAGATTTTGCTATAGAAAAAGTCTCTAATAATAGTCCAGCTGGCAATACTGTGATATTTAGTGGGTGAGTTGCTTCATAATTTTATTTCTTTCTTGTGCGGGAGTAGACAAAAGGAAGGACGATGGTTTGTGAATAGGAACTTCTCCTTTTTGTCACTGTTTACTACCACATGCCAAAGAGGGAAGCTGGGGTTTGATGTTCTCATAGGAGCTACCAGACATTTCAGTTCTGAGCTACTACCTGTCTATTCTTTATATCCATAGCTATGAGACAAAGCTGACTCTTTCTTCTTCTCTGCAAATGAAGTGATGCTGAAAATCGACTTCACCTCCAGGCCCTCCTTATGCCTTTTCTCTCCTTTCTTTCTCATTCGAACTACATTGCCCCCTTTCAGCAAACTGTTGGTCTCCTTTTGTACTGAACCCAATGTCTTGAAAGTTACTGATGATTTCTGCTGTCGTTCTATTCTCTCAAAGATTCCTGTGGTTTGTTCCCCCAAAGGTTCCTATGCGAGAAGCATGGTACCAAATATGGTACTGCTCAAATGATGGAATCTTTAAGAGCTGGACCCTAGTGAAAGGTATTTAGGTCCTGAGAGCTCCCTCCCTGGTAAATGGATCGATACTGGCCTCTTAGAGTGGTCTTGCAGGAATAGATTGATTTCCACAAGACTATATTTTTATAGACGGGCATGCCTGGCCTCTTCCTGTTGTCTTGTTTTCTTGTTTGTACATACACCCCATCTCCACATGGCTGATTCATTTTCAGACTCTCTGAAATGTAATGATCTAGTCTGATGGAGTCACAGTACAGTTTGGACTTCCCAATCATCAGAATTATAAACCACATAAACATATTGACAAGGTACCCAACCTTGACTATTTTGTCATTATGACACAAAAGGAATGGAGACAACCTCAGCAACTTTGAAGTTAATGTACTTCAGGCAGTTTTTGAAGGACATTTTTAAAGTTGATATTATTGATCTATACATTTTTCTCTGCTCCCCTCCCTGCCTCTCCCCTCCCCTTCAACACTCTCCCGTGGTCCCCATGCTCCCAATTTACTCAGGAGATCTTGTTTTTTACTACTTCCCATGTAGATTAGATCCATGTATGTCTCTCTTAGGGTCCTAATTGTTGTCTAGGTTCTCTGGGATTGTGGTTTGTAGGCTGTTTTTCTTTGTTCATGTTTAAAAACCACTTATGAGTGAGTACATATGATATTTGTCTTTCTGGGTCTGGGTTACCTCACTCAAAATGATGTTTTCTAGCTCCATCCATTTGCCTGCAAATTTTAAGATGTCATTTTTTCTGCTGTGTAATACTCCATTGTGTAAATGTGCCACATTTTCCTTATCCATTCTTCGGCCAAGGGGCATTTAGGTTGTTTCCAGGCTCTATCTATGACAAACAATAAACATAGTTGGGCATTTGTCCTTGTGACACGATTGAGCATCCTTTGGGTATCTACCCAAAAGTGGTATTGCTGGGTCTTGAGGAAGGTTGTTTCAACATTGCCATACTGGTATTCAAAGGGGTTGTATCAGCTTACACTCCCACCAGCAATGCAGGAGTGTTCCGTTTATCCTACAACATCTCCAGCATAAGTTATCATCAGTGTTTTTGATCTTGGCCATTCTTATAGGTGTAAGATGGAATTTCAGAAAGTTGTTTTAATTTGCATTTCTCTGATGACTAAGGATGTTGAGCATTTCCTTAAGTGTCTTTTGACCAATTTACATTCCTCTGTAGAGAGTTCTCTGTATATGTTTGTACTCCATTTTTTCCCTCTATCTGATGTGGAGTTGGTGAAGATCTTTTTCCATTCTGCAAGCTGCCATTTTGTCTTGTTGACCATGTTTTTTGCTTTACAGAAGCTTTTCAGTTTCAGGATGTCCCATTTATTAATTGTTTCTCTCAGTGTCTGTGTGACTGGGGTGGTATTTAGGAAGTGTTCTCCCATACCAATGCGTTCAAGTGTACATCCCACTTTCTCCACTATGAGGTGCAGTGTGGCTGGCTTTATGTTGAGGTCTGATCCATTTGGACTTGAGTTTTGTGCATTGAGATAGATATGGATCTATTTTCATTCTTCTACATGTTGATATCCAGTTATGCCAGCACCATTTGTTAAATATGCTTTCTTTTTTCCATTTGATATTTTTCTTCTTTGTCAAAAGTCAGGTGTTTGTAGGTGTGTGGATTAATATCCGGGTCTTCAATTCGGTTCCATTGGTCCTCCTGTGAACGACATTTCTCAATGTATTTATGTACTGAAAGGTCAAGTCTGTACACTTAACCCCATTTGGTAGCATGTTCATTGACTTTTTTTCTCCCATTTTCAATGTGAGCCACAGTTTTAAGATCCAGGATGCTAACTCCCCATTGAGAATGAATCTCATCTTATCTGTTGCTGTAATTTGTTCTGGTAGCTT